CCTTCTGGGCAGGACTTCTCTTACTGCTGGCTCCCTGGGCATCGTGCAGCTGCTGCTGCTGCTGTTGTTGTTGTTGGCCATTAGAGGAGGGGGCGCCGCTCCCTGCTCCACTGCTCTCCCGACCATCACCACCCCCACCTGGAACAAAACACCGACACTGTACTCCCTGTAAGTGTACTCTCTGTAACTGTACTCACTGTAACTGTACTCCTACAATATCTAAGACAGGACTCGCAGCAAATGGCTTCAAGTTAGAAAAAAATAGATTTAGAAAGGATATAGGAAAGCACTGGTTTGGCAATAGAGTTGTGGATGAGTGGAGCAAACTCCCGAGTACCGTCATAGAAGCTAAAACCTTGTGTAGTTTTAAATGTAGCTTAAATACATGGATGGTGGTGTGTGACTTGGACTTAACTAGCTTGGACCAGTAGGCCTGTAGCAGGGCACTGGCTTAAGCCAGTAGGAGAGTTGGACCTGCCTCGCATGGGCCAGTAGGCCTGCTGCAGTGTTCCTTCTGTCTTATGTTATGTCCCTCAGCCTGGAGAAGAGTCCAGCACCATGGTCTGGAACAAGGTGGTCAGTCCCTCAGCCTGGAGGAGAGTTAGCACCATGGTCTGGAACAAGGTGGTCAGTCCCTCAGCGAGTCCAACACCATGGTCTGGAACAAGGTGGTCAGTCCCTCAGCCTGGAGAAGAGTTCAGCTCCATGGTCTGGAACAAGGTGGTCAGTCCCTTAGCCTGGAGAAGAGTCCAGCACCAGGGTCTGAAACAAGGTGGTTAGTCCTTCAGCCTGGAGAAGAGTTAGCACCATGGTCTGGAACAAGGTGGTCAGTCCTTCAGCCTGGAGAAGAGTTAGCACCATGGTCTGGAACAAGGTGGTCAGTCCGTCAGCCTGGAGAACAGTTAGCACCATGGTCTGGAACAAGGTGATCAGTCCTTCAGCCTGGAGAAGAGTTAGCACCATGGTCTGGAACAAGGTGGTCAGTCCTTCAGCCTGGAGAAGAGTTAGCACCATGGTCTGGAACAAAGTGGTCAGTCCTTCAGCCTGGAGAAGAGTTAGCACCATGGTCTGGAACAAGGTGGTCAGTCCGTCAGCCTGGAGAAGAGTTAGCACCATGGTCTGGAACAAGGTGGTCAGTCCTTCAGCCTGGAGAAGAGTTAGCACCATGGTCTGGAACAAGGTGGTCAGTCCTTCAGCCTGGAGAAGAGTTAGCACCATGGTCTGGAACAAGGTGGTCAGTCCCTCAGCCTGGAGAAGAGTTAGCACCATGGTCTGGAACAAGGTGGTCAGTCCTTCAGCCTGGAGAAGAGTTAGCACCATGGTCTGGAACAAGGTGGTCAGTCCTTCAGCCTGGAGAAGAGTTAGCACCATGGTCTGGAACAAGGTGGTCAGTCCTTCAGCCTGGAGAAGAGTTAGCACCATGGTCTGGAACAAGGTGGTCAGTCCCTCAGCCTGGAGAAGAGTTAGCACCATGGTCTGGAACAAGGTGGTCAGTCCTTCAGCCTGGAGAAGAGTTAGCACCATGGTCTGGAATACATTTCACTACTACTGCTCCCTCTGTATTTGACTGAGAAAACCTACCATGTAGGCGAAACGTGTCACCAATAAAGACACACAAGTGTTGTACATGTGTCTCAATCTTCAACTTGTCAGAATTTTATGTCATTTCCAACCTTAGTACTCATTTCTCTCACGTTCTTGTCTGTTTCTGGCCACTGAGTTTCTGAAGACCAGTAATGATGCACCAGAGGTTCTAGCAGCCAAAATGGTTGCTGTTCTTGGGTGAACCACCAGTTAGAACCTCCCAGCACTTCCAGAACTAGTTACCAGAGAGAACCACCAGATAGAACCTCCCAGCACTTCCAGAACTAGTTACCAGAGAGAACCACCAGATAGAACCTCCCAGCACTTCCAGAACTAGTTACCAGAGAGAACCACCAGATAGAACCTCCCAGCACTTCCAGAACTAGTTACCAGAGAGAACCACCAGATAGAACCTCCCAGCACTTCCAGAACTAGTTACCAGAGATCCAACACTGTCTTGGTAACCTGTAGAAGCTATCACCAAATATCTTCTTCCTCACAGAGTGCAATTTGAGATGTATTTAATGGAAGGCCAGCATGGACGGTAAGAGAAGTGACCCTGGAGCTAGCTTGGTAGAAGCTAGGTTAGGTTAACGGTAAGTAGGTACCTGGGTGTTAGTCACCTTACACCTGCTGGCACTGTTCACCTAGCAGTAAGTAGGTACCTGGGTGTTAGGTGACTGACTGGTGTGGGTGGCATCCTGGGGACAAAACTGACCTAATTTGCAGGAAATGCTGTACATAACAAGGAACTTTCTATATAGTAGTATGTCATAGGTGTCAGCTATGGTCTGTATAAGTTGTGTCAGGTACTGGTAGTAATTAACATTATTATTATCTTGATCAACCAGGCTGTGGTGCATACTTGAAAAATGTAACGATGGTGAGAGAGAGAGAGAGAGAGAGAGAGAGAGAGAGAGAGAGAGAGAGAGAGAGAGAGAGAGAGAGAGGACACCCCTCACCGTGACCTCTGACTTCAAATATCATCCTTCAGGAACCCTGAGAGCGAAGGATGCTCTAGTGTATGGTAGCGCGGTAGGTACCAGACCGTAGGTAACAGACAGTAGGTACCAGACAGCAGGTACCAGACAGTAGGTACCAGATAGTGGGTACCAGATAGTGGGTACCAAACATTGGGTACCAAACAGTAGGTACCAGACACTAGGTACCATACAGTAGTTACCAGACAGTGGGTACCAGACAGTAGGTATCAGACAGGAGGTATCAAATAGTAGGTACCAGACACTAGGTACCATACAGTAGGTACCATACAGTAGATACCAGGCAGCAGTACCAGATAGTAGGTACCAGACAGTAGGTACCAGACAGAAGTTACAAAACAGTGGGTACGAGACAGTAGGTACCAACAGTAACAACCAGACAGTAGGTATCTGACAGAAGTTACAAAACAGTGGGTACCAGACAGTAGGTACCAACAGTAGCAACCAGACAGTAGGTACCAGACAGTAACAACCAGACAGTAGGTACCAGACAGAAGTTACAAAACAGTGGGTACCAGACAGGTACCAACAGTAGCAACCAGACAGTAGGCACCAGACAGTAACAACCAGACAGTAGGTACCAGACAGAAGTTACAAAACAGTGGGTACCAGACAGTAGGTACCAACAGTAGCAACTAGACAGTAGGTACCAAACAGAAGCAACCAGACAGTAGGTACCAGACAGTAGGTACCATAGATACCAGGCAGCAGTACCAGACAGAAGGTACCAGACAGTAGCAACCAGACAGTAGGTACCAGACAGAAGTTACGAGACAGAGGGTACTAGACGGTACAAGTGAGTGACAAGTAACAGTCCCCACTGACCTGCTACCGACTCCTGGTTTACATATACATTTATGTTGCACCTTCTGCCAGGTAGTTTCTACAATAACATTTATGTTGCACCTTCTGCCAGGTAGTTTCTACAATAACATTTATGTTGCACCTTCTGCCAGGTAGTTTCTACAATAACATTTATGTTGCACCTTCTGCCAGGTAGTTTCTACAATAACATTTATGTTGCACCTTCTGCCAGGTAGTTTCTACAATAACATTTATGTTGCACCTTCTGCCAGGTAGTTTCTACAATAACATTTATGTTGCACCTTCTGCCAGGTAGTTTCTACAATAACATTTATGTTGCACCTTCTGCCAGGTAGTTTCTACAATAACATTTATGTTGCACCTTCTGCCAGGTAGTTTCTACAATAACAGGGTAAATTAACATCAGATAGGTTAACCTGAAGAATAATATTCGGATATTACCAGGGAATTACCCCCCCCCCCACGAGACCAAGCCTCCTGCTGTATCAAAGTCTGATCAACCAGGCTGTTACCTACTAACCAACTCTGAGTATTGCAACTCCCGGAGCCCGGCCATCGTCCAGGCTCGTCCGGTGCCGGCCTGGTCAGCTTGTAACACTGTGCAACAGAGACGTTATAAAGAGGGAAGCATTATAGTGATGGGATATAGAAGGTGAGGCAGTGCTGGGGAAGGGAAGTGTACCAGAGGCAGTGCTGGGGGAGGGAAGTGTACCAGAGGCAGTGCTGGGGGAGGGAAGTGTACCAGAGGCAGTGCTGGGGGAGGGAAGTGTACCAGAGGCAGTGCTGGGGGAGGGAAGTGTACCAGAGGCAGTGCTGGGGGAGGGAAGTGTACCAGAGTCAGTGCTGGGGGAGGGAAGTGTACCAGAGGCAGTGCTGGGGGAGGGAAGTGTACCAGAGACAGTGCTGGGGGAGGGAAGTGTACCAGAGGAAGTGCTGGGGGAGGGAAGTGTACCAGAGGCAGTGCTGGGGGAGGGAAGTGTACCAGAGGCAGTGCTGGGGGAGGGAAGTGTACCAGAGGCAGTGCTGGGGGAGGGAAGTGTACCAGAGGCAGTGCTGGGGGAGGGAAGTGTACCAGAGGCAGTGCTGGGGGAGGGAAGTGTACCAGAGGCAGTGCTGGGGGAGGGAAGTGTACCAGAGGCAGTGCTGGGGGAGGGAAGTGTACCAGAGGCAGTGCTGGGGGAGGGAAGTGTACCAGAGGCAGTGCTGGGGGAGGGAAGTGTACCAGAGGCAGTGCTGGGGGAGGGAAGTGTACCAGAGGCAGTGCTGGGGGAGGGAAGTGTACCAGAGGCAGTGCTGGGGGAGGGAAGTGTACCAGAGGCAGTGCTGGGGGAGGGAAGTGTACCAGAGGCAGTGCTGGGGGAGGGAGAAATGTACCAGAGGCAGTGCTGGGGGAGGGAAGTGTACCAGAGGCAGTGCTGGGGGAGGGAAGTGTACCAGAGGCAGTGCTGGGGGAGGGAAGTGTACCAGAGGCAGTGCTGGGGGAGGGAAGTGTACCAGAGGCAGTGCTGGGGGAGGGAAGTGTACCAGAGGCAGTGCTGGGGGAGGGAAGTGTACCAGAGGCAGTGCTGGGGGAGGGAAGTGTACCAGAGGCAGTGCTGGGGGAGGGAAGTGTACCAGAGGCAGTGCTGGGGGAGGAAGTGTACCAGAGGCAGTGCTGGGGGAGGGAAGTGTACCAGAGGCAGTGCTGGGGGAGGGAAGTGTAACCAAAAGTGTGGGGAGGGTAAGTAA